TCACCTTGTCAATATCTCAGCTGATCCTGTTTTCTCAGACTGGATGCCTTATCCAAATGGATCTCAGCTGAACGGCTTCTTGAAAGCCTGAAAGCTTAGCCAGACACTAGTTCCTGGTCCTCATGCCTTATATACCTTTCTGCTTTCTGCCATCACTTCCTGGGATTAAAGGTGTGAGTCACCATGCCTGGCTGTATACTTGAACACACAGAGATCTGCCTGTCGTGTGATCGGGATTAAAGGTGTGTGTGCCACCATTTTCTGGCCTCTCTATCTAGTGGCTGTTCTGTTCTCTGACCCCAGATAAGTTTATTAGGGTACAAAATATTTTGGGGAACACAATATCACCACAGAAAGGGAGTTCCTTTAGGGCAGTGTTCTGACCCTTTAATGCAGTGACTCCTGCTGTGGTCATTAGGGTTTAGCAACAGGAGTACCTTAGCAGGGCCAAGGCATGCTGCAAAGATCACACCATACAACAGATCTCACACGAGAGATTTATTGTAGGGGGTGAGAAAGGCTGTCTCAGAGCAGGGACAAGAGAGACAGACAGCAAGAGAGCAGTCTGTGATGGTGGGGACCTTGTCACATTTGTTGGCTGTGATGACATGACTGTTGGCACTGAAGCGGGCTGAGGGAGCACCTGGGCTCTAACAATGGAGACCCCCAACCATAAAGTTATTTCACTGCTACTTCATAACTGTAATTTTGCTACTGTTATGAATTCTAATGTAAATATCTGGTATGCAGGATATCTGATATGTGACTCTGTGAAAGGGGTCTTTCAACCCCCTCCACCCCCCACCCCCTACTCCAGGAGTCACAACTCACAGGTTGAGAACCACTGCTTTAGGTGAACCAAATATTCCCTTTCAGTGTTAGGCATTAAAAATCAAAAACATAACTTCTTCACTTAGAGAGTGAATATCTGGAATTTGTGTTCACTTTGCCTTTCCTTTCCTTTATAGTACTCATAAAGTAGAAGTTCTGATTCCTGTTTATATTTAAGTATGAAGAGCTGGGTTTGTTGGCTTGCTTATTTGAAGCAGGATTTTGCTAGGTACATTTTCTCTATGTAAAGCAGGATGTGGTAGCAAGCATCTGTAATCCCAGTGCAGTAGGAGACAGAGACAATTTCTCGAAGCTCTTGTGCCAGCTAGCATGATGGGTGTAGCATTGAACAGTAAAATGATACTGTCTCAAAAAAGATGGAAGGTGGAGGGTGCTACACACATGCCATAGTATTTTCAACCACATACACAGACACACAGACATACACACACACACATACACATCATAAACACACATATACATTTTAAGAAAGGTTCCCAAATAAGCACTTATTACTTGTTGGTAATGGAGAGATGGCTCAGAGATTAAGAGCATTTACTGCTCTTGCAAAGGACCTGAGTTTGGTTCTCAGTGCCCACGTGACAGCTCACAACTTCATGTAACAACTAGTTCCAAGTGACCCAATGCCTCTTCTGATCTCTACAGGCTTGCATGCACTTGATCCGTATACAACAGTCACATGTGTATATATACAAAAAAAGTAAACCCCCATTTGTTACATATTTAGCCAAAAAGTACTTAATTGAAAGATAAATTTATATAGCTTCAAATAATTATATACATAAGAATATAACTAATGACATAAAGAGGATTTCTGGGAGCTGTACTAAAACTAGAATCTTCTTGCTGTTATTGCAAATTTGTAATTATCAACAACAGACAAATCAAGCAGCAACAAGAAAAGTTTCTTGTGTAGAACCATAAGAGAAAATATTCAACATACAGCTCACAGAGATGCAAACTGTTGTATTGGGGGATAAGATAGAGATGGTGGGAGAAGGATCAGCCAGCAGACTACTGCCTTTGGTTTTGATAGAGGTTTTTTTTTGGTTTTTTTGTTTTTTGTTTTTTTTTTTTTTTGGTTTTTCGAGACAGGGTTTCTCTGTGTAGCTTTGCACCTTTCCTGAAACTCACTCTGTAGACCAGGCTGGCCTCGAACTCACAGAGATCCTCCTGGCTCTGCCTCCCAAGTGCTGGGATTAAAGGCCACCCGGCCCTGATAAAGGTTCTTATCATGTGGGCCAAGTTGGTCTTGAACTCCCAGTCCTCATGCCTCAACTTCTTCCTCAGTAGAGTTACAGGCATGTGCATTACTATGCCCAATAGACTACTGCTTTTCATTTCAGTATTTCAGCTAATGCTGATTTTTAATTGTGTATTTCCCTATTTCTTAGATTTTACTTTGATGTTTGATTTTTAGCTGTGGGATATCTGTCTCTCTGTCTCTGTCTCTCTGTCTAGTTAGTTGTTGGACATTCTTAGAGTCTTTTCAGTCTGAGATCTTATTTTTTTTTCATTCTAGGAAATGTATTGATATTTTTGCAACTGTTTTCTTTTTCCTTGTGCAGCTTTTATGTTCATATACACTATTACATGGATATTGATTTTTCTTGCCACTCTAGTCCTTATATCCCTTGACTTATGCCTCATCTCTTCCTGATTACTTTTGGCAGACTGCCTTAAAGCTGGCATTTATATAGATTATGAATTGTTTTGAAATCTCCATCTTGCTCTTCAACCCTTCAAGTTTATTATTTCGGTGATTATATTTGTTTTATAATAACATTTCTACCTGCTTTGTTTCTAATATTCTCCCTTAGTGAGCTTTATTCTATTTACTTTTTTTCCTCCTGTGAAGTCATCTTTCCTATGGACATTAGCAACCTTCATTGATGAGAATATGAGATGGAGTCAGGAAAGCTATAGCTTGGTTTATGCCTCTCCTGCTGTGCTTAGGAAATGAAGGGACAGGTTGTAGGCATGTATTGGGAGATTTACCAGGGTCAAGGTCTTTCACATTAAGATTTGAACTCCCTTCTTAGGAACAAAGCTACTCATGATCTCTTTCCTCTGTCCATGAAATGAGAAGAGCAGTAGGGTAACAGAACATGGGAACATGCAAAAACCACCCAGTACTGACCGTGAATGTTAAAAATTACTTCAGGGCTGGAGAGATGGCTCAGCAGTTAAGAGCTAAGTCTTCCAGAGGACTGAGTTCAATTCCCCATACCCATATTGGACAGCTGAGCTGCCTGTAACTACAGCCCCAGGGTATCCAACATCTCTGAACTCCATTGGCACCCACACACATGGCAAACACTCACATAAACATAGACACACATATACACATGATTAAAAAATAATAAGACAGACGGTGGTGGTGCACACCTTTAATCCTGGCACCTGGGAGGCAGAGACAAATGGATCTTTGTGAGTTCGAGGCCAGCGTGGTCTACAGAGCTAGTTCCAGGACAGTCAGAGCTACACAGAGCAATCCTGTCTCAAAAAACCAATAAATAAACAAATAATAAATAAACAAGGCTTCACCACCTTCTGTCTCCAGTGACAGCTTTGTGTTACCCAGTAGGCTTTTGACTACTCTAGGTCTGCTGGTAGTTTTCCTGCTTTGCATCCACTGTTGCCTGTTCCAGATAATGTTGGAGAGAAAAAAAGTTCATTAAAATAACTACCAGGGGCTAGAAAGATGGCTCAGCAGTTAAGAGCACTTCCAGAGGACAATGAGTTTGGTTCCCAGAATTCATGTCAGCTCACGGCCACCTCTGTAACTCGGGTTCAGAAGATCCAGTATCTCTGGTCTTACGTACCTGCACTCATGTATACATATCCCTCCCCCCACACACACACACACATGCACATATGCAAATTTAAAAAATACATTTATAAAATGAATCTTTTTATTTTTAATTTAAAAAGTAATTATATCCTTACTTCTTGCTCTGATCTCTGACCCTTGTCTACTCTTGTCTTTTTGTCTCCCTACACTGGGGACCAGATTTCACTGAGTTGTCCCAGGAAGTTCTGTCTTTGTAAACAAAATGAGTTATTGTTGTGTGTCTTAATTTAGTACAGGTTACCTTTTTTAAATGGCTGGTTAATATAACTGATCACATATAAAGATAGCTTGTATTCAATAAAATGTAGGTTAATTTTTTTTAATGGGTGGGGGATTGGAGGATGATTTATGGGACTTGGTTCTCATCTTTACCCTATAGGGGTTCTTGGAATCTAACTCAGATCATCAGGCTTGACAGCAAGCTCTTTCCCCATTGAGTCCCATTGCTAGACATATCAAAAAGTACAGTTTTAGTGTATATCTCTGTGTGAGAGAGAATTTTTATCCTTTTTATACTCATTGCCTCACTTTTTTTTAGGGTGTGTGTGTACACATGCTATATGTGTGTTTGTGTTCATTTGTGTGCTGGTACCCATGTGTGTGATGGCTGTCATTTGTTAGGTGCTGTCCTCCTTGTTTTTCGAAATAGGGTCTCTCACTGGAACTTAAAGCTGGCCAGCTCTGGCTAGCCAGCCATTCCTAGAGGTCTGCGCATCTCTTACTCCTTACCTCTGGGATTACGAATGTGTACCACTATGCTCAGCTTTTTGTGTGGGTGCTGGAATATCACTTCAGTCCCCACCTTCACCTTAAGTGAAAGTCAGCTATAGGGTAAGTACTAGGATTTGTAGTCTGTGGAATATTTCCCTGGTTCACTCTTTAGACTCATTATATTGTTTTTAGGTTTTAATTGTTATAATAAAATATGGAGAAGATGTGAAAGATTATTTTCTAGGATGGATTTACAGAATCAAATTGGGAAAATAGGTAAAAGGATCAGTATTTCAGATTATTAAACAGACCAAATGCCTGCAATAGAATAGAAATTCAAATTATAGTTATCAGATGAAAGAACATTAAAAATGGTTTTGTGTATGTTTCCAACAGTTTTTAACACTACCAGTATGAGATCATTTACTTTCCAACACATCTTACATGTTTTGATTATTTGAATAATTAAAAGAATTCTCTGTCTTGGGAGGGGACAACACTGCCGTCAGCTGCTGTAACTAGGGCCTACTTCCACCCTGTGTTCACCAACTGAGTAAATAAATGAGCATATGTTTTCTTACAGGACTGAATTTACTCTTAAAGAAACCATGTCCTCTGGAGGTGCTGAAGATGACATCCCACAGGGAGAGCGGAAGACAGTTACAGATTTCTGTTATCTTTTGGATAAATCCAAACAGCTGTTCAATGGGTTAAGGTTAGTAGACTCTTGATGTGTTAAACTTTTCTCTAGTTCTGCTTTTCCTCTCGATGATATATGGTAGGTTTCTGAAAGTTATGCTTAAAATCAAATATCATATATATCAGATATAATTTACATCTATTAAATACACACACACACACACACACACACACACACACACACAACTGTATTAGAAATAATTGCAGCTCAGTGAGGAAGCTCGTGCTTGTAATCCCAGGACTGGGGAGGCTGATGTAGGAGAATCACAGTTAAGTCTGAGCTACAAATGGCCAGGTCAGCCTGGCCTAAAATGAAACCCTATCTCAAAAATAAAACAAACAAAAACAAAGAACAAACAGAAAGAAGTAACTGTAGTCTTTTTCTTTTTATTTTATTTATTTATGTTTATTCTTAGATGAAAAACCATGTGTTGGGTTGACAACATGTATAAGGCCCTCGAAACTTTTCCAGAGGCTCTCAGTTCTGTTCCCAGTACCCATATTAGACAAATTACAATTACCTGTAACTCCAACTCCAGAGGATCCAGTGCCCTCTTTGGCAGTTACACACAAATAAAAATAAAAGTAAGTCTAAAAATTATTGTTACCAGTCAGCTGGCTAGGGTCCTTTGCTTTTCCTTGATAGGAATTATGAGTAGGCAAGGAGATTCTCCCGGTGTTGACAGTCCTCAGCCCTTGAGTTCTAAGGCTTGAGGACTCTTCTGGCAGGCCCAGGGCCTATTGTTCCAGGCTTTAAAATCTAGTGACTTAGAGCTTCAGGCAATCGGGATTGTAGCTCTGTGCTTTTTCCACCAGCATCCCCAGTATTTAGAAGCTAGCCTAAACCTCTTCTAGCATTGATAACCAGGGAAACAGACAGCCAGCAAGCAGTTCTTCCTAATGTTACAGCTCTTGGAACAGGTGCTGGAACCCTCAGCCTTTAGCAGCCAGGGTGTTGGGAGTCTCAGCCCTCTACACTAGTTAATGTTGTGTCTCTTGAGCCTTCGATGTCTGTGACCCTTTGTCCTGAATGTTTGACAGCTCCTTGGAGCTCTTGTGGCAAGTAGTGCCTTCAGTTTCTTACCTTCCAATCTCCACAGCCTTGTGTCATTCGCTCTGATCGTCATCACTAGTTCTCCTGCCACTACTGTCTCCTTTGTAGTGAAGTTGACACTGCCTTTGCTGCCTTCATTACTTTCTGCTGGTGCCACTGCTGATGTCAACCTTTGTGCTAGGAGCTCAGTCTTCTTCACTAATGATAAAAATCAAAAGTAGACTGAAAAAAAGACAGAGGCCTTTCATTGTCGGGTCTCATGTTGCAACACAAGGGGGCAGCAAATCACAGCAAATATTCTTGCTAAAAAGGACTGTAGCAATCAGTTTTTCTGCTGGACCATCAGTGCAGATGCTTCCCTTCTGGCCTGAGTAAAAGTGGCTACAGGTTCATCTAGAAGTCACTGAGGTTTTGGTTGTCAAAAGTCTGACACAAACTCTTTTGAAGCACTTGTAGCTGGAATAGTACCTTCTAGGGACAGAGCTGTGCTTTGTTAGCAAGCACTGAGATCACAATGTAGTTTCCACAAGATGTCTAAAGAGTGCTAGCATGAAGACAGTCCACTTGACAGCTTGGTTGATAGTCCTTCCCTTAAACAAACTGGGACACCAGGAAAAGGTCTAACATCTATCAGGAGACAAATCACCAAATTGCCCAACATCTTAGCTTATTTAAAGGAAAAATGAAATATTAAAGTAAGTGCATGGAATAAAGGCTTATTAAAATTAAGTAACTTAATGGATATATTTTTCATTTTAAAAGTTTTTAGATTTATGTGTATGAGTGTTTTGCCTGTATAAAAGTATGTGTACCATGTATAAGGCTGGTGCCCATGAAGAGGAAAAGAAGGCATCAAAACTGGAGTTTCAGACAGTTGTGAGCCAGCATGTGAGTGCTGGGAACAAAACCCGGATCCTCTGTAATATCAGTAAGTGCTCTTAACAACTGAGCCATCTCTCCAGCCCTAAGAAGTGTTTAATAGTGCTTTAGCAGGGCTTAACTTCTGCTCTAAGGGGAGATGGTTCCCTCTAATCTGTCTGAATAGGGAAGGCAAGAAGTATTTGTTTTACTCAAGTTGAGAGGAGCTCTTTTGTTAGATGAGTATTTTATTGTTTTCTGTTGTTTTTATAGATGGCTTTATCTTCATCTTTCATCTCATACTTAACATATGATTTTATGCATGAAGGTATTGAGGTTCAAGCACCCTATTCTTTTTTTTTTTCTAATGTGTATAAATGTTTTGCCTGCATGTATGTAAGTATACTGCATAAATGCCTGGATGCATGCCTGGTATCTGTAGAAGTCACAAGAAGGTGCCAGAACTTCTGGAGCTGGAGTTATGGACCTTGTAAGCCACCACACAGGTCCTGGGAACTGAACCCTGGCCCTCCGGAAGAGCAGCCAATGCTCTTAACAGCTAATGCATCTCTCTAGCACAAGTGTGTGGTTTTGAAACACAGTCTTCCTAATTGCAGGATAGTATCCTCATGAAATAATGTCTTAAATTTTAACAATACTAGTAATGATGAATTTTGATATTTTACCTTGAACAGTGGATAAGAAAATCTACCAAAGATTCACATTAGTGTTTTATGTGAATGATCCTCTTCAATTTAACCCTTAATTAAAGTCCAAATCTTCTGTAAACACGTGGATCTTGTGCAAAATTGGGTAGCCTTGGTCTCTGTTTCATAGAGATACTGGTATTTTGATTCTCTGCTAACTTCCCTTTTCTACCCTTGGCTTTCTACCCTCATTGTTGGGATTCATACCCAGGTTTGGTGCATGCTTGGTAAGCATTCTTTTGTTGAGGTATATATCCCCAGTCACTTAAAAAAAAGAGAGAGAAAGAGAAAATTGTTTTATTATGTAACAGTTGCTTATTTCGAACTATCTTTTTTATTATTCAAATTAATTTTATATGTATGGGTACTTTGCCTGCATGTTTGTCTGTGCACCACTTGCATGTCTAGTGCCACCAGGAAAGAGCATGCACAATTTTGAATTCAGGTACTCTTGGAGTCCAGAAGAAGCTGGATCCCTGGTAAGTAGAGTTACAGTTGTGAGCCACCTGGTGTGAATGCCATGAATTGAACGCAGGTCCTTTTTGAGAACAGTACCTGTTCTTAACTGCTGAGCCATCTCTCTAGCCCCACATGACTTTTTTTTAAAGATTTTATTTTTTTTATCTGTGAATGTTTCGTTTATACATTTGTGTGTGCTGTGTGTGCAGTACCAGCAGAGAGGATGTCAGGTCCTTTGGAACTAGAGTTACAGAGAATTGTGTACCACCACGTGGGTGCTAGGAACTGAACCTGAGTTTTCTGCAAGAGCAGCAAGTGCTATCTTCCAGCTGAGCCGTGTCTTCAGGTCCCACATGATGTTTTGCTTTATTTGCATTAAATGAATTTTCTGAGACAGGCATAGTGGTGTATGCCTGTGCTAGTTTTTTTGTCAACTTGACACAAGCTATGGTCATCTGGGAAGAGGGAACTTCAGTTGAAAAATTTGCTTCCATCAGATTTCTTGTAGGCAAATCTATTTAACAATTTATTAATTAATGAATAATGTGGGAGAACCCAATCCACCAAGGGCCATGCCACACTGGACAGGTGGGCTGGAGCTGTGTAAGGAAGTACCTATGTTAGCCATGAGGAGCAAGCTAGTAAGCAGCACTCCTCCATGACCTTTGCTTCAGTTCCTGCCTCCAGGTTCCTGCCTTGAGTGCCTGCCCTGACTTCCCATCATAATGGACTATGATTGGGAAAACGTAAGGCAAATAAACCCTTTCTTCACCAGGTTACTTTAGATCGTGGTGTTTCCTCATGCAAACTGGGACAGTGCCTATAATTTGGCTGCTCAGAAGGCTGAGGCAGGATAATCTCCTGAGCCCAAATATCTAGACTAGCTTGAACAACAGTTAAAAGACTCTATTACCCCCCAAAAAATTTAATTTTTGTATTAAATAAAATCCTGTGTATGTGTGTGCTTTATATGTTTATTAAAACATAACTGTTTGTTGTTCAATATTCAACCTTAGCTGAAAATTCTTAGAAAGGGCTCAGTTCAGTATCTTCTTTGGGGTCCCCAGGGTGGCAGGGTGGAAGAATGTTACCTTCTCACCACTATTTACTTTGTCTTATTTGAATTACTAAACTAAAAAGCTTTCTTCTTTCAAGTGATGATGTTTTTGTTTTCTTTTTGGTTTGGTTTTGATCATATTTTTATAATATATAAGATTTCTTTGGGGATAACAAAGAAAAAGTTGTTTTTCATTGATTTTCTGCTACCACCTTTATGTAGGTTCTGGGGATCAAACTCAGATTGCCAGGTTTGTATAGCAAGCATTTTTATCCATGAGACTTCTTGCTGTCTTGAGGAAGTTTTTTTTTGTTTGTTTGTTTGTTTGTTTGTTTTGGTTTGTTTTTTTGTGTGTTTTGATGTTTTGGGGGGGGGTTCAAGACAGGGTTTCTCTATATAGCTTTGCGCCTTTCCTGGAACTCACTCTATAGCCCAGCCTGGCCTCAAACTCAGAGATTCACCTGCCTCTGCCTCCTGAGTGCTGGGATTAAAGGCGTGCACCACCGCCCAGCTTGAGGAAGTTTTTTGTCTCCTTCCTTCTATATTTGTATTGGTTTAAATAGAAAACAAGATCACAGTGCCTATAGAGCACACAAAATACATTGATAGGCCAAACCAGCACTCAGCTTGTAGAGGAAGCAAGTGGCATCCAGGTACAGTAGTGTCAACTCTTAACACTAGCCATTTCCCTGGACATTCCTTCCACTCTTGTTGCTCATCATTTTGCTAAGTGTCCTTTGTGTTTTCTCTTTCTTTGGTTTGAAGAGAGCTTTATGTATTTGTTTTGGAGGAGGCTGTGAAGATGGCACAGTGCTGACGATACAGCCCAGGCCTCCGTGCATAGTAGTCACTTGTACCACTGAACCTTAACCCCAGCTCAA